TACTTTCCATTTAAATTTGAGATGCTGCTATAAATTATCAACCAGGCTCTTGTTCCCTTTGAGTTGATAACTAACTACCTGGGTTACTTATTGTTCAGGTAACAAAAGGGAGGTGAGGAAGCCCTTCAGGAATAACCTCAGGACCGGGCAAGAGAGGAACTTGAACCCCAGGAGGGATCCCCATCGGGGAAAGCAGGAGGGCCAGGAAGCCCATGGGCAGGAGGGGCCCAGGGACCCGTCCTCAGCTGCCCCGTGCCCAGAAGGCCTCCTGCAGGGAGAGGCCCCCCAAGCCTGCTCCTCCTGCCCCTGGGGAGTAGGAAGAAACCGGACCTAGATTCCCCCGTGAAGGTGACCTTCTGAATATCTGGGTTTCTTCATACTTTTCTAAGGACCACCTTGACTCCCCATCTCTGCCCCACACCAGAAGGCCCAGGCAGGACATGGTCTGAGCACTTCCTTTCGGCCTCCTTTCGAGGCATTAGAGAGGAAGTGGTTGCTCCAGGAAATGGTTACACCCCCCTCCCCAAGAACCCCACATTTCTGGTTCTACCAGAATAACTGAGATGATTCTGGGGGACAGATGGGCATATTTTATGTGTTCCCTTTCTTTCACTCAAATTTATTTCCAATTTTCTTCAATTGCATTATGGGGCAATGAAATATTGGACATTTTTTCCAGAATAAAATAAGCTATTGTGGCCACCTTAAATTCACTTATCTCTTTATTTCTCATAGGTATATGTACAGTATATGTATATATGAGAGTATGTGCACCGAGAGCATATGCACCAAGACAAATTCCTTTTGTGTCCGATCACACTTGGCCAATAAAGAATTCTATCTTCTGTATGCATATGTATCATATAAACCAGAAATTATATAGTGTAAAATTAAGAAAAAAGATAAAAGAGTAAGTAGAAAAAACAGTGAAGGAAAGGAAAGAAAAAAGACTTCCCATATTCTTTACAAACAAATTGATTACATCTCTTACCTCTTTAAAGTTACGACATGGCTCATGTCATTTTAAACAACAAATCTATAAATTGCCAATTTATTTTTTCCATTTTCAACAAAACAACCATCTGAGATATCCAATCTTTTACAAAAGTTCTAGTTGCCTTATCTCTGATCAAAGAGGTCAATTTAACCATTTCCCCAATTCTTCCATGTTCATGTTTCTTGCCTCTGTTGTGGCTTTTTTCCCCCTCAGTCTCCACCCTCACCCATCTTCGTGCATCTAATTCTTTTAAAAACAGGTTGTACAGCTCTGTGCCAGAATAAACACAAGACAATATAAAGAGATTATAAATTCCCCACATGTGATGCCTTAGAGACTTTACTGTCACTGCACCTCCTACAACAAAATTAAATGCCATCCATCTTCAGTGTAAATCATACATAAGAAAACTTTTATTATTATTATTTTTATTTTTTATATACTTCCATCTTCAGTTGCAGTGTGTTGTCTGGGTACAAGTATCTTTGTTGAACAGTAATCATAATTTGCAACATCATTCATTACATTGATATTAATTCTACAATATTAAAATACTAATGTTCCACATATTAATTCTACAATATTAAAATAGTAATAATCAACATGTTAATCACAATATTTGCTTATCTCTTTTAACATATCTTCTTTATTTTGTTTCCTTGTTTCCCTCTTTCTAATTTCCATTTTTATTGTTTAACCATTGATAAAATAAATCCCATGTCATATAATATTCGGTTTGCTCTTTTTCCTTAATTGCAAGCGTTAATCTGTTCATTTCTGCACATTCTAATATTTTCCTAATCATATTCTCATTGGTAGGTATCTCTTCATTCTTCCAGCTTTGTGCAAACACAATTCTAGCAGCAGTGAATATATGAATAATGAAATATGCATTTTCCTTACTGTATTTTTTGGGTAGAATCCCCAATAGAAATATTTCTGGCTTTAAATCAATATGTTATTTTATCATTTTTTCCAACCACGTATGTATTTTTGTCCAGTGTTTTTTTGCTTTTGGGCAAGTCCACCACATATGATAAAATGATCCAGTTATCTGTGGCACTTCTATCATTTAGCCAACTTATCTTTAAACATCTTTGCCAACTGCACTGGTGCAAAATGCCATCTATAAAAAATACAAAAAAATATATATGTGCAGTTGACATTGTTCATTTATAGTTCCTGTCCCACAATTTTTGCCATTTATCTAATTCAATTGTATAACCATTTTTTGCCCATACTATCATTGTTTCCTTTACTTGTTCATCTTCCAGTTTAATGTATAAGTAGCTGTACATTTTTTAAATCATTTTTTTCTTCTGCCCCCATCTGTATCTTGTCTAGTTCTGTTAGTTCTTTTTTTTAAAAAACATATAGTTTTGCATCTTTCTCATATCTAGAATGTATCGGCACTCGTGAATACCATGTTATATCAATTCCTTGATCGCTCAATTCTTGTTTATTTTTGAGTTCCCCCATCTCATTCAAAATATCTTTATATCTGCCAATATTTTCTAGTACATAAGAAAATTTTGAGGGCCTCTTAATTGCTACTGGGGAGATGAGTGTCTTTGTCAAAATCCAAAATCCTCTTGAATCTTGATATTGTCATCTAAACCAGCGTTTCTCAACCTTACCAACTCTACAATGGGTGGACTTCATCTTTCCTGGCTGGGGGGATTCTGGGAGTTGAAGTCCGCCCATTTTACAGTTACTGAGGTTGATTAATGCTGATCTAAACACTTCAATTTTTCCACCTCTTTGTTGTGTTGTTTGCGGATGCGACAACCACATTTTCTAATTTTTCCTCCAAGTCACTTATAAATATTTTGAGTAGTAGACGGCCTAGAAAGGATTCCTGCCCCTTCCTGCTTTACTCCTGGCTCAAACCAATTGCTTGGTCATCTGTTCCAGGGTGTTTTCCCCAGGAATAACATCAAGCTGGATGACGTTTTGCTTTCCTTTCTTGCACCCACCCCCTTTTTTTTTTAAATGAGGCAGTCCTTCTCTGAACTTCTGACATTCTACCTTCCATGGTTCCTCAGATGCACCAAAAAGTCCTCCAAGGCAACATCCATAGGTCCCTTTGTGCCTCTTGGATGGAACTGACCTCATTTTGGAGCCCTAAACCCACTTGCAGCAGTCAGGACCCCTCAACCTTGCTCTACTCCCCTTTCTTTCAAAATCAGGTGAAGTGTTAGTACCACTTTGTAATGCCTTGATAAGAGCACACTTGAAATGTTGCATCCAGTTTTGATTGCCACGATATAAAAAAATACATTGAGATTCTAGAAAGAGTACAGAGAAGAGCAGAAAAGATGATTAGTGGACCGGAGGCTAAAATATGATATGAAGAACAGTTTTAAGAATGTCTATTCTAGCGAAAAGAGGCCTGGGGTGACATAATAGCAGCAGTGTTCCTATACTTGAGGGGATACCACAAGAAGAGGGAAGTCAATCTATTCCCCAAAGTACTTGAAGGCTGATCAAAAAGCAACGGATAGAAATTAATCAAGGAGAAAAGCAACTTAAAACTAAGGAGAAATTTCCTGACAGTCAGAACAATTAATGAGTAGAATGGCTTACCTCCAGAACTTGTGGGTGCTTCACCAATGGAGGTTTTTTAGAGACTGGGCAACCGTTTGTCCTGAATGTATAGAGTCTCTTGCTTGTGCAGAGGGTTGGACTAGAAGATCTCCAAGGTCCCATTATGTTATTCTGGTTTTTGTTTTACCACTCCCTCCTTTTGTCTCCCATCCTACTTAGAGCCCTTTGAATGCAATTCCCCCCATAGGAGAAGCTGAAGCCAAGTAGGAATTGAGCCCCCTCCCCACCTGGCCTTCCACCTCTTAGCAGCTGCCCACCCCTTCCTCCTCCTGGTTTTACTACCCCTGGAGCCAAAAGGGGCCTTTATGACTTTTGGCTTCCCTTGTGAGCTCCGTTCCCTTCAGGGGTTCCCACTTCCTGCATTAGCTGCTGTCTGACAGGCTTCCTTGTTGGGATTGACACTCTTCTCCTTGTCCCTTTGGTCAAAAGCTCCTTGGGCATCTTGGGTGGGTTCCTGAGCTGCTTTTTCCCCTCAATGGTCAGCATCTTAGTTCTGAGAAGTTCTCTTGCGCTCCCTTTATTTGATAAATTTTGTCTAAAGTTGTTGTTTTCTTCTTCTTCGTGTATTTCCCACAAGTGCTGGGTTTTCCTTTCTTGTTTGTTTGTTTGTTTTGCTTTTGATCAAACAAGCGCTGATCAATTGGTTGAGTTAGGAAGTGGATTGACTGGCTTCCATCTGAGCCTGAGGCCATGGGCTAAGAGAGAGGCTCTGGGACAGAGTCACCCAGCTGGCTAAGCCAGGACTAGAACTCACCTCTCCTAGCTGCATCCTTGACTGCTAGCCAAGGTTGGGCAACCAGAGCAACCTTATGACCTATGGACTTCAGCTCCCCGAATTCCTGGGCAAGCATGGCCAGTTGGAGTCCACAAGCCTTAAAGTTGCCAAGCTTGGAGACTCCAGTCCTTGTGGAACAGGAAGAAGAGTTGTCAGCAAGACAATGGTCAGAGAGAGAAGAAATCTGAGTCTGGGCCAGACAGCATCTCAGACAAGATCCTCCTTGGTTCTCTTGAAGATACTGAGAGGGAGGATGGAAGGAGGGGGCTTCAGACTATCTTCAGACTAGTTTTAGCATGCATGATGCTGGCTTCCTAGTATGGTCTCATTTAATATCACTTGGCTAAAATGGAGTTGTGGGCACTGGGCACACAGCCGGTGTCTTCACATGTTCCAGGAATCAGAGAACCGAATTTTACCTCTAAGACTTTGACTCATTTGGAGGCAACAGGTTGCGTGAACCCAGCAATTCTGGATTGTTTATCCTTGAAAGCTGCTCAGAGTCACCAAGAGGGAATCGGGTGGCCCTATCCATTTTCTGAAATGAATCAATTGTATCTCAAGATTCGGAGGCGGGCAAGGACCCCTCTCTGAGACAGCCCCACTTTCCGTCTCTTCCAGGGAGGATCCCTGGAGGGTGGCAAAGATGGTGAAGTCCTACCTCCAGCAGCACAACATCCCTCAACGGGAAGTGGTGGACACAACGGGCTTGAACCAGTCCCACCTCTCCCAGCACCTCAACAAGGGCACCCCCATGAAGACTCAGAAGAGAGCTGCCCTGTACACCTGGTACGTTCGCAAGCAGCGAGAGGTGGCCCAGCGTAAGTACAGCAACCGGCAGCGTCTCCCCTTCCCAAGACCCCTGTGGGTAGACCAGGGGGGCTGGCTCGGATTCTGGGAGGTCTCTCTGCTCCAAGACGCCCAGGTTGGAGGCGTTGCTCCTCTGGGGAAGGTTTCCCAGGGCAGAGGGGGGAAACCTAGGCAGCCCCCCCCAGATCTGGGCAGGTCTTCCTCCTTCTGGGGCTGAGGGCTGCTGTGGGCAGAGGGTGAGGCGGAGGGACGGGGGGGGGGCTGGGAAAGGCTACTTCTTCAGCTCCTGAGAGGCTCTTAGCCAGTTCTGAGGCTCAACAGCTCTTTTGTCTTCGTTTCTCATTGATGGTTGTCATCAGGAAATGGCCAGATGTTAGCCACACCTGCCAAAGGGCGGGGAGTGTATTATTTTTGCCCCTCCTGGGTTGCAAGCCGGGCAGAAAATGTTTCCTGTGGAAATGCAGTAACATGTCATCCTCTGGATCTGAAATCCTGATCCTTGCCAACTTTTTTGGGGGCGGGGATCTGCAAATGTCACTCCGGAAGTCTGTAGCCCCCCAAAGATGATGGGGTCACGACAAGAGGAATAGGCAGCAAACCCACCACAATTAGGTTTCACTTGATTTAATTGTACATATACATGTCATTGACTATGTTCCTTCTGTCACGTACGTAAAATTGCTAAGCATCGCTCAGACCCTGCAAGATGACGGACTTTAGAGGTGGGATCTAAATCGGGGCTCCATCAGCTCCCATGATTCCCAATTTATTACTGGGGTGGGGTGAAATTGTGAATTTTTAATTGTCAATATTTAATGTTGTACACTGGAGTCCCTCAGATGACTTGGGCAGCTATAGAAATGTGCTTAATAAATATATGATAATGAATCAATTACTCCCAGCCATCGGTAGCTTTTGGTCTTGGAGGGAGCTGAAAAGAGAAGCCACCAAGACCTCAACTCTCCAGCCCAAGAAAACTGGCCAAAGAGCGGCTTCTGCTCTCTCTATCTTTTCTCCAGAGCTCAGCAACCCTTTGCTTTCCAGTCCTTCCCAGGGTCTCTGAGGAGCCCAACTCTCTTTTTGCCCTTCCAGAATTCACCCACGCCGGCCAGGGCCTCCTGGTGGAGGACCCGATGGGGGAGGAGATCCCGGTCAAGAAGGGCCGGAGGAACCGGTTCAAGTGGGGCCCGGCATCACAGCAGATCCTCTTCCAAGCCTACGAGAGGCAGAAGAACCCGAGCAAGGAAGAGAGGGAGGCTCTGGTGGAGGAATGCAACAGGTACCGGGGAGACGGACACCGCCTTGCGTTCGTCCCAGGATGGGCCTCTTGGGAGAAGAAGACCTTGGGGTCCCTCTTGGGAGCTGATGGCCAAATCTGGCCCTAGTTCTGCCTCGGTTTTCCTTTTCCAATAGGCAGCAAAGTCGGAAGTTCATTCAAAAGCAATTTATTAGAGTCCTCGGATAAAGTGTGGGTCTCTCCATGAGAATGGATTACATTTACTTTTATAGTTAGAACAACAAAGAACTTCAAAGCAAAAGGGGATTGGTTTAGAAACAGGCATCTGTTCAGTTGCGTCACAAGAATGACAGCATAGCCGTAGGAAAGGGCAGTGTGTTCTCAGTGAAGGCAAAAGAATCATTTGCAAACAAAAAATAATTCAAATGAGTTTGGGTAAGATACATTCTCAGTGCTTCTCAAGGTGGGGCCTGACTATTTTCTTTGATCACAGAGGTTGGAGAACACCTAAAAACGAAACTGTTACCTACAAGGTGTTGAATACTTTCCTGACAGTCCTGGTTTCTGAAAGAGAGGAATTTCCTTGAAGGTTAAGTTTTATGGGAAATTATTAACAACGCAATTGAAGAAGCAAATTTAAAATACAGAGGGGAAACCCCTGTCAATTACCTGCTGCAACAGTATTATAAAACCATGTTTCAAGTATTACAAAGTCCATCCTCTGGGCCTCTCAGAGCCTCCCACAGGCCACCAGGCCAATGGCCCCTTGATCCGGCCCCACAAGATGGGAAGTGAATTCCTCCTCCTATGCCAGATCCGGTCGCCTCCAGACACCCGTTGGGAGGGAGGGTTGAGATTTCATCAGTTTCCCTCCGTGAAAAGCTCCTTCACCTTCCCATCTCTACCTTGTTCCAAATTAACCTTAAACATCTCGCCATTAATCTGAGCTTGATGCAAACAAAAAGGGAGGGGAGGAACACCAAGAGATTCAGCACAATCACATTTTTGATTACAATTAGCACAGTGCAGAATAAATAAATGAGAGCTTCCCTGGGGGCTATTCATGACAAAAATCTTCAAACTCGTCTATTTTTATTTGCTTGTTTATATCCTGCTTTTATTATTTTTACAAATAACTCAAGGTGGCGAACATATCCAACACACCTTCCTCTTCCTATTTTCCCCATAAGAACAACCCTGTGAAGTGGATTGGACTGAGAGGGAGGGACTGGCCCAAAGTCACCCAGACTAGAACTCCCAGTTGCCTGGTGAATGGCCAAAGTCACCCAGCCAGCTTTCATGGCTAAAGAAGGATTTGAATTCACCATCTCCTGCTTTCTAGTCTGGTGCCTTAACGACTAGACCAAACTGGCTCTCTTCCTAACTCTGGAGAAGCATTTCAATGACAGTTTGTCCGTTCCAAAAACCTGAATCTTGTGAAACATGCTGGGCTCCTACCTAAGCATTTTGAGGTTCATCAGCACCAGCTCTGCAATTGCACATTGGGCTGAATGAGCCATCTTTCGGGATGGTGGTCACCATGATTTTTTTCTGAGGACTGGTTTGAATAGTTTGCCAAAGTGATGCACCATATCTCTTGAACCTGGTTCACTTATCAAATGAGCCATAAAATAGTCTGCTGGGTTTGGTTTAATGTGCTATGTAAATCCAGCAATGGCAGCCGATGACTTGTAATTTATGGTTTGGCAGAAGTGGGGAAACTCTGTTGAAGGAAGCCAATTGTCATAGCCTTGGGTGTGCTCAGTGTGTTGTGAACTGTGACCATCTGCCTTGAGTACACCAGGATTGCATGAGATACAAACCCGGTTATCAACTCTCCTTCTCCATAGGCAACCGCCACATATTCTTGGAGGTCACCTGGGTTTTCCTAAACTTCATCATCATTTCTCAATCTTGGCCACTTGAAGATGTGTGGACTTCAACTCTCAGAATTCCATGACCACAATCTATAAGTGACCAAGATTGAGAAGTTGGTTGCTGAGAACTTCCAGGAATTGTGTTGTGCCATATTGGGAACGTATCTGGTTGGGGAGGCCCTGTGATTGCCCCAGACCTGACTCAACCATGCCCTTCCTTGGCAGGGCAGAGTGCCTTCAGCGTGGCGTCTCTCCATCCCAGGCCCAGGGGCTGGGCTCCAACCTGGTGACCGAGGTGAGGGTTTACAACTGGTTCGCCAACCGCCGTAAAGAGGAAGCCTTCCGGCACAAGCTTGCCATGGACAGCTACAACGGTTCCCAGTCCAGCTCCGTGCCCACCTTGGCCTCTCATGGCTCCTCCTCTCTCCAACCAGCAACTCCTCTGTCCCCAGGCAAAGTCCATGGTGAGTGCCAGGCGGAGGGTGGCAGGGGAGAGGGAGACCCCCAGGGACATATGGAGAACATAGGAAGAACGGTAGCAGAAAATGGGTACGTCTAGTTTAATCAAGAGAAGGACGGGGGGTGATGTGATGGCAGCGTTCCACTATTTAAGGGGCTGCCCTAAAGAAGAGGGGGTCAAGCTATTCTCCAAAGTACCTGAGGGTAGGACAAGAAGCAATGGATGGAAACTAACCAAGGAGAGATCCAACCTAGAAATAAGGAGAAATTTCCTGACAGAACAATTAATCAGTGGAACACCTTGCCTCAAGAGGTTGTGAATGCTCGCCCACACTGGAGATTTTTAAGAAAAGACAGCCACTTATCTGGAATAGTGCAGAGGATTGTCTGGAATGCCTGAACAGGGTTGGACTAGAAGATCTCTAAGATCCCTTCCAATTCTGTTATTCTGTTACTAAGAAGTGTGTATACATACGTATGTGGGTCTGTAGCTATATCACTGTGAAGCCTTTGCCTTATGACCACAACTGGGACCAAAATTCCCATGGCTAAGTAAAGTGGTTGCTAAATGAATCACGCCTGACTTTGCAGTCTTCTGTTTGCCATGGTTGGCTAGGGAAAAACACCCCCCCCCCA